ATACCTATCTATTGCTATAGACATTTAGTGATAGAGACACAGTCACTTGACACAGCATCTTGATGCAATCAAGAAATCGTCTGGTAAGGTGTGATGATTGGATTTTCATGCCATTGTGTGAGATGTGCCTTCCTCAGACCTTGTTATGACATTGGCTTGTTGCTTGTCTGTGGTGGAAAAGAAAGATGGAGGAGGAGGAAGAGGAGGAGAAAGAAGAGGAAGAGGAGGAGAGAAAGTAAATACAACGTGTCTGTTGCTTCTATTGCTGTGACCTGTATTAGTTACTTTTCTGTTCCTGTAGTAAACACCAAGATCAAAAGCAACTTAAGGAAGAAAAAGGCTATTTTTAGCTTATGGTTCCAGAGGGGTAGAGTCCATAATGGTGGTAGGAATGACAGTGGGCAAGGCTAGACTTGGCAGCAGGAGTTGGTGGCTCAGAGAGAGAACAGGAAGTGGGGTGAGGCTAGAAACCCTCAGGGTTTGCTCCCAGTGGCTTACTTCCTCCAGCAAGGCTGTATAACCTCTGAAATAACACCACCAACTGGGGACCAAGTGTTCAAATACATGAGCCTATGAAGGTCATTTCTCATTCAAACCACCACATAACCCAAAAGGTTTTCCAGTACACTTTTTGTAAGTTGGAGTACACTGTGTAACAATGAGAAGAGTAGAAGAGTATAGTAAATACATGAACTAGTAATGCTTATTATTCCTATAGCATTACATACTATACATAATTCTATTCCCACACATTTATCTTACTGGCATGCTGTAGACTTACACTAGTATCACCAAATCATCATCACCATCATCATCTTCATTGTTTGTACCACTATGCTAAACATCACTAGGTGATAGGAAATTTTCAGCTCTGTATTAGTCAGGCTTCTTGTTGCTGTGACCAAGCCTCCAATACATAAACCTTTTGGGGGTCTCCCTCATATCCAAACTATAACAAACTCCACTATAATTTTATGGGATCACCATCATATGTGAGGGCTGTCATTACACAGTGTACACCTGTTTTTTCATCATCTAAGATATTTTCCCTTTGTGCTCCAAGAGCCTCCTGTGCTTTATTAATTTTACAAACTTGAGGAAGAAAAATTAATCACAGTCCTGGCAGCACTGGCATGGAAGGGTGAAGAGCAACATGTGCTAGGTGCCAGGGACACCCTCTTACTCTCTCAGAGAGTCAAGAATGTTGAGTCAGGGGCTGTGCCTGGGAAAACGTCCTAAGATTCCACAGCTTTTTTTTTTTTTTTTTTTTGGTCTTTTTGAGACAGGGTCTAAAGGGGTACGCCACTATGCCCGGCTGATTCCACCGCTTTTATAACTTCTGCATCTGCAAATTTTATCACTAGTTCTTTTCCTCCAGACCAGTAGTTTCAAATCCTTCAAGCATTAAAAACAACTACGCGGCTGTAAGTAAGGGTAGCAAGGACCATGGCAGTTTGGAGGACTGGAATGCCCAGCTCCTTCACAGCCTCTCTTCTTAACCTGGGGAGATGAAGCTAAGACCCTGGGCTTGACACAGTGGAAAAGAGAGAATTCCAGAGTGAGGTTAAGCAGAATCTCTCAGAAGAGGCTCTGGGAGCTGAGTGGTAAACAGAGACGTTTCTCCTATTTATTCCTGGTTTCCTCATCTTTAACTTGGGAGTCACCTTGGTACATTCCTCACAAAACTACTGTGATGATGATGTGAGGCTGTCCATGTGAGATTCTGGCAGTGTTCCTAAGCATTGTGGATGTGAGGGTCATCTAGACCCAATGGAATTCAACCCAGCTGTATATCAAGGGAGAACTGCAGATTGCATCCACATCCAAAATAGTAAACCATCTTTGTCTCCATTTTATAGATGGAGAAACTGAGGTTACATGTTAGAAGATATTACATTTCCAAACACTTATAGCTGGGCTGGGAACATAGCTCAGAGGGAGGGTGCTTGTTTAGCTGTCTCCAGGCCCTGGGTTGGATCCCCAATGCTGTAAAACAAATAAGCAAATAAACAATTTCAAAACAAAGTGATGGAACTAATGAATAGTGGGTTGAGATTAAATTCTGGATCCCTTTGCCTCATAAGACCAGATTCTTAGTTTTCCTTGAAGTGCTATCTCTGAATGTAAATGTTAACATAAATTAAACTTTATTTTAAAGATTTGTGTTTGGAGCTGCAATCAAGAAAATAACCTAAGCCAATTAGTTGAACAGTTTTATTTTTTCTCTACTTGCACAGTTGAGGGGAAGAGGTTGTTTAAGTGCAGTGGTTACTTTTCTATTGCTGTGATAAAATACCATGACCAGAAACAACTTAATGATGAGTTGATTTTGGCTTACTGCTCCGGAGGGCTAGACATCCACACAGGAAGCAGAGAGCAAACTGGAAGTGGGGAGAGGCTAGAAACTCTCAACGCCTACCCCCAGTGACTATTTCCTTTAGAAAAGCTCAACATCCTAAAAAGTTCCATGACCTCCCCACACACTGCCACCAACTGGGGCCTGTGGAGGACATTTTTCATTCACACCACCACAGTAAACAATCATAAACATTTATTGAACCTTTGGGTCAGCCACCATGCTTCATCTTTAAGGTCTCCATACTCTATTTATTTATTTATTTACTTACTTACTTACTTACTTACTTACTTATGCAGGGCTAAAGATCAGACCCAAGGCTTCACACATGCTAGGCAAGCATTCTACCACTGAGCCACACTCTCAGACTTATTACTATTATTAGACTATTATTACTTTAAAAAAAGTTTACATGTATTTTGTCTGTTTAGTGTATGTGTACACGTGCATGCCAGAGTACACATATGGAGGTCAGAGGACAACTTGCTGGAGTTGGTTCCATCATACACAGTCCAGGGATTGAACTGAGATCCTGAATCTTGGCAGCAAATACCTTTACCTGCTGATCCATCTCACTGACCCCACTGTTACTACAGACATTGTCAATTCTGGCAGCAAGCACCTTTCCCTGCTGATCTGTCTAGGCAGCCCCACTGTTACTATTTTATAGCACATGGGTCTCTTTATTGAAGGGAGTTGAGAATGGCCAGTATGTGTTTGGGGGAGGAAAGGAGCAGCTGAATCCCACAGACCCTGCATTTCTTGGGAGCCCCCACCTCCGCACCTCTCTGGACTTCCCTTTGAACAGAGAGCAGAGGAGCCAGCTCTTCTAGATCAGCCAGTCTCATTCTTGGTGTATAAAGGACAGAGACTTAGCAAAGGAGCTGCTTAGGAACTGGAACTGTGGAAGCAATGAATGAAACGGCCATTTGCTGTGTCACTGTGCATTTTAAAGTGAAACAGAAAGAAACTGTTGTTTTGGGGAGAAATGACCATGGGTGTGACTTTTCCTACATGCTGTGGTTTTGTGCAAGGCTTGCTTCCAAGCTGCCCAAGTTCTATAGGCTGGCTTCCTGCACGCAGCCTCTGTGGACACTGAAACTATCTCTGGTCTTGAAAATGTTCTTGTCCAGGGCTACGACTTTGAGTTCTCCTTCTCAACAGAGGCCTGAAATCTCCGTCTGTAGATGGGAAGGAGAAAGGAGCCACTGTCTGGCTAGGCCGGCCGTTTGAATCATTGTCCGTCCCAGCAGGACAGAGTACATGCCACTGTCTGCTTCCTTTTAAAGTCTCTAAGCGTTCTGCCAGATGATTTGCTTCATGTTTTGAAGCAGATTAAAAAAAAAAAAAACAAAAACACAAGGAGAGGTGACTAATTCTGTGGAGAACTTTTGCCTTTAACATTCTTCTCTGAACAGTCTGGCTACTAATTAGGATCTACCAATGATACAAAGAAGCAATGTAGCCCATTGGGGCTGGAATCCATACCAGATACCTAACTAGCTACAATACCACAAGCATACCATGTATATAATGATGCTGTCCTTTCACCTGTAAAACAGGAGTACAAGTATCAGCCTTGTAAGGATTGAAAAAGAAGTGCATACCAAGTATTTCACATAGCTTAACTGAAAGTCCTTTTAATTTATTGTATGTGTATGTGTTTTGCCTGCATGTATGTAGATATACCCATCTGTGCAATGCCCATAGAGGTCAGAAGAGGATGTCTGATCCCTTGGAACTGGAGTTTCAGATAGTTTGCTAGCTGCCATGTGGGTGGTGGAAACTGAACTCAGGTCCTCTATAAGAGCAACCAGTGCTCTTAACTGCTGAGTCATCTCTCTTTGCACCCCCCCCCCTTTATTTTTGACACGGCCTCCTGTAGTCTAGGCTGGCCTCAGACTTCAAGAATGACCTTGCAATTCTGATAATCTTGCCTCTACCTTTCTAGTACTTGGAATGCAGGGATACACTACCATGCCTGGTTTATCGGGTATTCAGGATTTGAACCCAGGGTTTTGTCCATGTGAGGAAGGCATTCTACAAACCTAGCTATATCGCCAGCATGAAAAGTACTGTTTTTAATATAGCTCTGTCATAAAACCGTATCTTTACTGTGCTGTGTTGGGTATGTGGTTCTAAGGGCTTAAACTCAGTCTTTTGCATGCTAAGCCCATGATATACCAGTGAGCTATATCTCTTGCCCACTGTGCTGCCTTCTGATAAGACTTTCCTTTTGAGATCTCAGGGTCAGGTTAATGACCTACTGGTGGGGTGGTATGGACATTCTTGATGCCAATCATCTAGGAAGGGATGTGCCCTCACTTAGGAAACTGGAATTAGACCAGAGTAGTAGATGCTCCTCTCTTATTGTCCTGTGTCTGATGCTCCTGGAATCTAGACATGTGAAGTCACACATGCTTAGTAAGCCACACATGCTTAGTAAGGCTTAATCATAGCGAAGTAGGAAGCTAGAGGGGCTATGCACTGAAGATGATCAGCTATGTCATAGAAACTAGGCCATATGTCCTACAGGCAGCAGTTGGTAATAGTGAAGAGCATCCTGGAGTTAGCCCATCCTCTGTGTTAGTGTTTGATATTCCATCCTCTGTGGACAGTTAGGGTTTGATATTCATGGGTCCTCTCCTATCTGAAATCCACTGGGAACAGAGGGTTTCCTTGCAAATTCATTAAAACTTTTCAAAGCTTTTAGTTATAATAGACTCTCACAAAAACTCCTAAGATACAGGATTAGACCTTCATTTCTACTTTTCTAAGTTAACTAAAATTTAAAAAGACTAACATGGGTCAGATGTG